AAGAAATAACTCATGTCCTCTGAGGACTCAAGGAAGGTTAGTGAAATAAAAAGGCATTTTAGATGCTTTTATGTTTGAATATGTTTTAAAAACAACTTTGGGGATCTTCCCCCCTTTTTGTTTTGTAGCATTACAAAGTCCCGAAGTGCTAAACCACATGTTATTTATTAAGCACATTAGAACGACCTCCTACAGATCCGTGCTCAGGGAAGCGGCATCTCTGCTGCTCAGTGGCAGTGTCAGTGTTGTTCTGCCTTACCCTATCAGGTTTCCACGGCAGAGCGAGCTGTGACTTGGCTGGGAGGCAGGAAAGCAGTCAAGGGCACTTTGGCTCTGCTGGGCAATGGCACATCTGTTAACCCACTTCTCCTTTCACTCCACATTACCTGCCAGGTTGCTACATGTGGTTCTCTCTCTTTGTACCCCCAAAGGGGCAATTCTTGCACCACAGCCACAAACAATGAATTTATCATACATGATCATTCCTACCACGGGCAGTATTACCTTTTTTACAGCAGCAGTCCCAGCAGTTGGACTAGGTGTGCTGGTTCATTAAAGCACAGATATTTCAAAGGAAAAGTCAACATGAAAAAGCACCCTTGAAATTGTGTATTCATTAGGAAGGCAGCCTCTAAGACATCCCTACATCACTGCATTAAGCTCCTGACCTAATACCTGACTCACACTACCAGATGAAGGGTACCTTTACAAATGGCAAAGAATGAACCACTTATTTCCTATCAGTCAAAAACTACAGTGAGACACTTCCTCAGACCACGCTGCTATGAAATAAAACCTGTTCACTTGAAACATATATTAGTATGCTGTACTTCAACACTGGGGCAGGCACATGAGTACCCAGTTAGGCACTGTAAGAAGCCCAGTTATTTTCAGCTGGGCAGGCAGTGGCTTTCTGGAACATCGTTTACTGGCAAAGCAATGGATGATCCAAACCCCTTCCACCCTGAGTGAGCACGATGAAGGGTCCTTGGTGCCACGTGCCACATAAGCCAAGTGAGGAGCACTCCTCTCTGGGGCCCAGGAGTGAGCTCACACACAGAGTGGGGCCCGTGGTACCTGTGAGGTTGGCGGGCTCCTGCGAGGGGCTGAGCTGGAGCCAGCGTGGCGCTGCAGGATCCCCGCCCGCTCCCGTGGCCAGCCCGGCCTCGGGGTCATCCTCGGCCGCCTGCCAGGCCACCAGCGCGATGTCCACGTCAGCTCCACAGCCCAGGGACGTGTCACTGCTCACGCTCTCACCTGCAAACAGCACAGTGCTGCTCACAGCTGCGCCCCGGGCTGCGGCAGCACAGCGCCCCGGAGAAGCGTCTCGGCTGGCTGCAACAAAATCACGGCAGATTTCAGGGGCTGTGCTTGGCAAAAACTGTCTCGGGGCACTCACTTTTCTCTCTCTCTCTGTAATACCCGTGAGATTGCTGCAAGTCTGCTTTCAGATCCAGCTCAGCTGTACTGCTGCTCCTCTGCATTAGCACCTGCAGGGAAAGAATTCATCTCAGCTCATACAGCTCTGAGCACTACACCGACTCCAGCAAATTTCACACCCACACAGTCTTTAGAAATTAACCACAACCCAGTCAAGACATTCTCATGAATATTCAGAGTAAAAAGTGTATGTCAGTGTCCTTAGGAAAACATCAGGCTTTCCATTTCATTCTTTATCCTCCCTCTCACAACCTCAGTTTTCACACCAACAAGCAGGATTTTTTACCTATGTTTTTCAAACACATCTGAAATAATTTCTTAAGGTATTAAAAAAAAAAAAATCTTTCGTCCTTCATATTTCACAGAGATGATCAGGCTAAGTAATTTGTTGTTTCAACTGTTCAGTCAAAAGTTGCCATTAAAAATGTATGAAGTTTGTCTGTGCTGATGTCAACTCACACTAACATCTGCCATGCACGGCTGGTGATAGGAACTGTGCTGAACAGAAGCATTTTCATCAGTGCTTTAAAGCATCAAACATTTATTCCAGTGTACTGTAGCTCTGTAATAGCCATGAATTATTTATCTTTTAAAAGTTACAAACTCCTTGTTGATATTTCAAAAAAAGACCAAAGCCTTGTGTAAGACTAGAACAGAGATACAACTGCAGAAGCAGCTGATGACATCAGGAGACACAAACTGATCACACCCAGCAGGACAATAACCTGCTACAGGGCACACTTCCAGATGCCACACCAGAAATGGGATTGATGGGTTTTCACACTTCCACCTCCTAGAGTTTCTGAATGCTAAAACACTTCTGATTAGAAAGAAAACACTGCTAGGATCTTCACAGACATTACTTTTGGCTTTGCCTTACTTGCTCAGCTTCATGCTCCTTTACATATCCCTTATTTTCCTGAACTGATTTGGAGTCTGAAGTTGAATTTCCAGCCTTTTTACCTAGAAGTTTCAGAAAGGAAACAAGAACTATAAACATTTCCAGGACCAAAACACACAGCAAGTCTCATGTAAATTTCAGCTATGTTTACACGTCTCATATTTATAGTTAAGGGCCACACAACACTTAAATTGGATACAAGAAGCTTTGAAAAATCCTTCAGAAGCATAACATACTTACAGGAGAGGAACTGAACTCCAACTGCAGCTTGAATACACAAAATTCAAATGCAAGTCAGGTGAAAAGTCAGAGAGTTACATGCAAAGTGCACACACATTCCAAGTTCCATTTTTGGCCTCCCTGCTTTACAAAAGGTCCCATCCTGCACTGACAGTCTCTAACTTCCTTAAAACAGTTCTTTCAACAACTTACCAACTATGCAGCCACTAAGAAAATTAACTAAAACCACATTTTAGAGGAGAGCTGGAAACCAAAGTAATTAAGAGCAGCACCTGTGAGGCTGAACAAGTCTCAAACCTTTTCCTTGAAAAACACAGTATTGCTGCAGTTTATTAGAATTACCTTGAAAAAAATCAGATGGAATCTGATCTGCAATATCTGAAGTGCTGCTGCTTCGAGTAAGCTGCTGCTCTTGGTCTGCAAATGGGCCTGCAGCTTCTGTTCCTTCTGAATTTTCCAGCTGTTGAGATTCTTCAACTTCTGTTGATTTAATTACAACACAAAATATTTGCAGGAGCTCATATGTACCTCTGTGAACTCCTCACCTAAGCTCTATGAAAAAGCAACCCTTGCAAATATTTAAAATTCCCAAGATAAAATTTACAAGTTATAACTTAAGTTCTATAAAACATCCTTAGAAAAACTGTGAAGTTTAGAGATGCATGAGCAGCATAAAAGGTCTAGAAAAGGAGAGATGTGATTTTGGGAGCTAAAGAGGAGGAGGTCCCATGAACAAAGCTGGGTTTTCAGTGCTGGAAACCCCAGCTGGGCCCTGTTCATTCTCAAGAGAGAAAGAGCAGGGGCAACAGAACTTCCTTAAATGCAGTGTTGGGAGAAGCTGGCTGTGCCCCCTGAGTGCCTCCAGAAAGAGGCAAAAGGAGGAGGAATAAAGAAAGGCAAAAACTTATAGTAAAAAAGCTCTGAGCCAGATATAACTTGGGTTTAGCTTGTGAGGACAAACCCAACCAGGCAGCTTTTGGTTTGGCTGTATCTGCAAATGAGAAACAAAAGGAGGAGAGAGAGGCATGGAAATCCCCAAGCGAAAATAAACTGACGTGCTGGGGAAGGAGCAAGGAATTCTTGAGATTGCAGAACAACACAGCACTTTGAGAAATTAATTTCTCTTCGCATTTGGGAAAAAAAAAAAAACCACCAAAAAAGGCTAGTAATGCTCCAGTGTTTCCATCCAGCAGTGTGCAAGTTTTAATATTGCTTTACTACTTAATAAACACTGTAGGTATTTCAGAAAGTTATCTCAGGAAGCACATACACAAAAACTAACATTTCTGGTATCGACTGACTTCAGTTGACTTTCAATGTCTTACAGAAAGCAATAAAATAAAACATTCAATGCAATTCACTAGCTGGAACAATTTCAGCATTCCCCCCAAAATAACTTGAGATGAGAACACACCAAAGATATTTCAGTGAGCAGGAATCCCCACAGGGCCTTAAACACCACGTACGGAGCTCTCCTTTCTCTTGCTACAGCAGGTAATGAGTCTGGCAGGACTCAGGAGTCACAAATCCCTCCCAGGAAGTGAAACAGGGGAATTTTTACTTTAGTTACTAGGCAATACAGATCTAATTGCAACTGATGGCAGTCTTTAATATCAACATGAACAAAAATTGCTTTGCTTGCAGTGCTGCAAACATTCTGAGAAGAACCAACCAGACAGAAAGGGAACAGGCAGAGAGCAGTTTAAAAATATAAAGAACATTGATATCAAAGATGACTTTAAAGTACAGTACCTGACAGTCTGTGAGAGCAAGAAGTGTAAGAGATACCAGGGAAGAGAGAGCTCACAGTGTGAAGCAGAAGAGGTACACTTTTAGTGGCTGGCAAAGCCTCATAAAGATGGACACAGTTGCTGATAGACTGGCTTCGCTTAGCTTACAGGAAAAAATAGAGCAATAATTATATCAGGAACACAGTGAAATATTGCAGTTCTGAGTGCCACAACACAACCAAACCCAGAGTTTCAGGATAAAGCTTTTCAACAGTAAGCCCAGGGGTTTCACCCCTGAGATGTAAGTTAATATTGTGCAACACTCCCTCACACTGAAAGAGTAATAATCAGGGATTTCTGATCCATAGCAAGTGTGGAAGTGCCTTTTATTTGAACACACACAAAAAAGAAAAGCTGTGGATCAACACTTCCAGGTTCTCCCTACTGCTCTGGCAAGGTGTCAAAGGGGAAAATGCTGCAGCAGTAGAGAGAACTCTTCACTGAAGCATAAACAGGGACTCACTGAATTTAGAAATAGAACTCAAATAAAACTCAAGACTGAACTGGCTCTACTGCCAAAGCACTCTGTGATCCAGGCTGGAGGCCGTGGCTCAGCCATGGAGCCACAAACCACCCCCAGTGCTCTCCATCCTTCCAGCTCTCCCGGTGAGGAACTGGGGAGGGAGCTGTGCAGCCCAGCAGCTCCTGCTCAAAGCAGGGGCTTGCACAGGAGTCTGCCCCAGCAAACCAGCACATGGAAACATGCTGACATGATATAAAGACAGGCCAGGTTCAGGCTGCTGAAATGCTTGAACAAACTGAAATCTCTTCCATGTCTGGGGTCTCAGCTGTTACCCCAACATTCCTCAACCCAGTCTCCCTCCTGCTTTCCTCTTTGCAGAAGTAAACATGAGAGGAAAACTTCATCATGCCAAAAAAAAGAGAGCACATAAAGCAACCCTATGAAAGGATAACATTATTTATTAAATACCTGGTTTACCTTGTGCTCCCAGGAAATAGTTGTATCAATATCTGCTAGCTGCCTGTTAGTAGCAAATGCTCTCTTAGGAACTGACAAAAACAGCCACGTACCTCTAGAAAACCCCCTAACATGAACAGGTTTAACTCACAATTCAATGTCCTGTAGCTAAAAGCTTACATAGAGAATTTCCCAAAATACTTTGTGATTCACACTGGCCAAGACATCCCGACATGGATGTGCAACATCCCTGTTGGGGCGGTTAATTATTTAGTTGCTTTTGGCAGCAGCCACCCCTCAGAGGCAGGTTTAAAACCTGAGTGTTACTGAGTGTCTGGGTACCAAAGCACTCAGCTGTGGTCTAACTAACCTGTGGCTCTCTGACGGACAATGTTTCTTGCTTTCTCCACTCCTGGGGCCCCGGAGGTTGTGGCACTTCTGAATCTCATTGGCTCCACAACTTCGGGGTGACTTTTCCAGCTTAAGGAAAAAGATCTTCCTACTACAGCTGTCTTCTGAGGCTCTAGAACACCACCTAAGGACAAAGAACACAAAATTTTCTGGCACTGGATGCTTTGGCATGTATTTTTGCTGAAGTACGAATGGACTCAGACATGGCAATATTAATACTTTAAACAATACAGGTTAACTTTTGCTATTAATCAAAACCAACTGGTAGTTCAAACTATGTGCATTGATCTCAAGGTGGCATGCAAATGCAGCTAAAATACTATCAATTAGAAACTTTATTAAAAACACACAGAAAGGAATTTTTACAGAGTTGCCAGTGCCAGCCAACAGCACAAGAAACCACATTTAACCTCTGCCATCCAAAAAACCCTGACTGTAGGTGCAGACTCCAGCCTGCCCCCAACTACCTCTCCTCCCCAGTGAAGGATGACAACACACAAATCCCAAGTGCTTCACATTTGATTAAACAGGTCCTTACACCAGATTAAGTAGTGTTTAACATTAAATTAATTTTTAAGACTAAGCTTCAATATTTAACCGGTTCGATACAAAAAAGCACTGAAGCACAAAGTCAAACCTTTGCCTCTCTGCTTTTTTTCCTTCTGTTCACTGAGCTTGTCCAGGGGCAGGTTTGTCATCTCCACACCATACACAGTCCTGGCCAGCACTGCTGTCAGGGAGTCCATGATGTTGGCCCACTCGTTGATGAGCTCCTCCCAGTCCGTCAGGGAGGACAGGACACTGAGCAGCTCATCCCACAGCTCCCGGGAGATGTAAACGCTCAGGTTGGCTCTGATCCAAGCCACAATGAGGGTCTGAGGGAAGAGACACCAGTGGCAGCTCGGGCAGGGCTGACAAGATGAGTTCAGCACACCAAGCCCAGCCCACAACTCCGACCTGCACATCAGCACAGGCTCTTGGAGAGGCACAACTGATGTGCAGCGCTATTTTCCCTCAAAAAACACTCCCAGAAATAACAGGGAAAGTTACTGATGAAGGAAATTAAGAAAAATTTCAGGCTAAATGTTGTCTGGCAAACTGAAATAAGACACTCTGTAATAACAGCAGAATGAATGACTGTCCTACACCCACAGAACGACTGCAGCAGCTGAGCCCTGGGGCAGCACTACACACCCAGTTACACTTTCCAGGCTGGAAGTACAGTAGGAAGCATAAATGTCTCTTTCACTCGGTGTGACTCAGTTTTGACTTGCCAGCTGGACTTTCAGGAAAACAGTTACTTGATTTTTACACTTTAGAGACACTCACTGAAAATATCCCATCTGTGCTACCACAGTTTGTAAAAGAGCCCTGAAGAACAGAGCAAACCCAACTCTCCCTCCGTTAGTAACAGTTTACAAAATAATTACTAGCAAAACATGAGAAACCCCTCCTTCACAGTAATACAAGTAGGTTTCATGGTACTCAACTAAAACTGTGGGCAGTTGTGACAGAGCAAACCAACCAGCCCCACTCACTCACTCGGAACAGCAGCCCCGCCATGCTCTGAGCAAACGTGTCCTTGGTCTGGTTCTCCTTTGGCTTCTGCATCACAGCTTCTGTTATTCTGAGGAGTATCAGCAGCATCTGTTCCCTGATTCCAAAACAAAAGGTGCTCCATTAGTTGTACCTGCTCATTAATCCTGCAGCAAAGCCTTACTTATTGAGAATGCAGTCACACTTTGGACTTCACAGATAATTCGTGGAATAGCTTGGTTGGTTGTGGACTCTTAACAACTTTTTCTCTTGAATGACGGTATGTTAACCTTACCATGTCTTTCTGTTCATGGACAGCTCCATTATCATGCGCCTGAAGATGCTGAGAACAGCTTTGCAGGCATCCACCTGCTCCTTCAGCAGCAAAGGGACCTCAGTGCATGGCTCCAGCAGGAAAACGTTCGCCGAGTTTGTCAGGAATACCTGGTGTTGACAGTCCATTTTCACAGTGTTAGGAATGAAAACAGGCAAGACTTACAACAAAATACTGTGCTCCTTCAGTTAAACCTTCCCTTTTCCTTAGAGGAAGTTTCAAGTTTTACCCATCACTTAATTTTTGTGTTATTCCAGGAAAGAGCCAGGTGGCTCCCATCACACACCCACCAAGGCTCAGTATGTGGTTTGTGAGTGTCTCCTCTGCTGGGGCAGGCAAGAGGACATTCCTCCAGCCACCCATTTCCTGCCGTCATATGCTTAAACAGCCACCAGGATTTTCAATAAATGAAGTTCAGAAGAAGTAAATGCATGGTTCTGATTAATTCCTAGTACTCACAGGAGGAAAAAAATTAGCCTTCTGTGTTAAAATACAGATCTCTGGCCTTAAGACATGGTCATGAGGTTTAATACACATTTCAGAGTGACACATGAAGTCCAAATTGAGTCTTACAGAACCAATCAAGTCATGGTAGTTCTTTTCCTCCATCTCAGAGACTGTAAAGGAATTTGCAAGTTCTGTGGCCAGGCAGGTCATGGCCCCTTCCCACCCAGCTCACCTGCAGTGCAGCCTGAGCACCAGCCTTCACATCCCTGTCCTCATCCTCCAGCACGCAGCCCCTGCTGACGGCACTGGTGAAGGAGTAGGTCCTGCCCCAGCTGGAGGAGCGCTTGTGCCCGCAGGGCTCCGAGGAGAGCTGCCAAACACAGCCTGGTTAGCAGCAGGGCACAAAGGACACACCACAACTGATACAAAACCATCCCTGAGGTCAGCAGCAAAAGCAGGGGAACTGGCGTGGCATACACTCATTTCCACAGGGAATTCCTGGCTGTTATTTTTTCATTTCCACACGTGGAATTTGAAGGCTCATAGAAGTTTTAAAAGGTATGTTACTTAAAATATTTTTCACCACTTTTCACAGTCACTGATTGTAGTAACACTTGAATTTAAGTCTGGCAAAATCACAAATCCTCTACAAAACAAAGTAAAAACCTTGTAATTCTCGTTTTACAAATCAAACCTCTTATTCAGTACTAGAAAACTTCCCTTTAAACAGTGTCAACAGTGTCAAAGAACTTCTAGTGATGGTTCAAAACAGGATATTAAAAGATGATGCACAGGAACAGTATCTAGGGATAAATTTTCTAGATTAAGATGTCCAGCTACAATATACAGAAATTAATACATATTGTCAAGTTTTTAAGCACCACCAAAATGAAATAGTTCTCCATGCCTTAGGCCAGCAGACAGTCAATTTTAGCACTGCAAAACCCATCAGTGTCTTCCATGAAGTTCCTGCTGTCATATTAACACATGCAGGGAATAACCACAAATGATGTTTCTAAAACCAGCTGCAACCCTCCCTGCACTCTAAGTGCTACTCAGTAACTATTTCAACTGTGAGTCCTTAAATAAAAGCATTTTTTAACCCCTACTTTCCCCACACTTTAAACTGTTACTCCTCTACAGAGTCAGGTGAAAATTCCCATATTGCAGTGGACAAAGTAAGGAACAGGGATACCATACATGTTTACCGTCTGTTTGCACTGAGGAGTCTTCCAAGGGAGCAACAGCATCCTGGCTGTCCTCCTTCTTGTCTGGCTCCTCCATGAACACAGGTTTCTCCTGCAGTATCCACTTCTGGTACACTTTCACCACCTTCCGTGTTGCGGATATATCAGAAGGCGGCAACAAAAAAGCCTGAAAAGGAAAGTTCACCGATTTCAGAAGGCAGCAACAAAAACAGGACAGATGTGGTGCTTACAAACCCACACGCTGCCATTTTAAGTAGCAAGACTCAGTTCCCTCAACAATTCCATAACCTGATCTTTAAACTAGACCTAGGAAGGAGCCCAACCTTAAAGGCTGCTGCTGTGACCAGCACCAAGTTTGCCCAGCATCCAGCCCCGCAGAGCGCCTCTCACACCCGCTCCCTTCAGAAACAAGCAGCAGGGCAGAGACCTGGCGGAACACCTCGTTGACGAAGTTGACGTATCCGCGCGTGGAGAGCAGGATGCCCTGCACCATCTCGTAGACGCCGCGGTGCTGCTCCTCCACGCTGCAGAGGCTGCAGCTGCTGAGCCTCCTGTCCGACAGGCTGCTGCTGCTGGAGTTGCCGCGCTCCTGCTCGCCCGCGGGCGCCGCGCCCGCCTCCAGCTCCACGCTCTTCTCCTGGCCCACGGCAACTGTCTGCAGGCACAGCACAGCACATCACCCACCACACTCTGGGATCACCACAGAGAGCTCGGGATATGCAGCATTGTAGCAGGCCAGGGGCCTGCAATGGCTCCCTGGTGGTCAGAAGCCTGAGATAGGAAAAGCCAAGTCATGATGGCTGGGCCTTAGAAGCCCCTCTCTTCCGTCTTTGGACCCTTGCTTATCTCTCTGTAAGCC